CCAGTTTGGTTGTGTATAAACTGGTGATAATAGCAATATGTATCTGTGGCTTTGAGATTATGGCACAACTGAATTTATTTGTAGTTCCAAATGTAAATGTTTTCCTTGCAACACAGATATGGCAGTATCACAGTGATTTTCAGAAGTAATCCACTCAGATGGATAAGCTGAACGTGCACTTGTAATAACACTAAAGTTCTGTAGAAATGACATCTGTTTATGTTTTGGTATTTATGATACTATTTACAAGTAAAAAGATAAAGTGGTAAGAAAAGCAGTATCTGGTAAGGAAGCAAGATCTCTTTCTATTGGCTTTTTTTTTTATTACAAAAATAAATGTACTTGCAAAATGGAAAAAAAAAGATAAATAATTATAAGCTGAATGCTTCTCTCCACTGGGATTGAGTCCAAGATCCTGAACTTCTCCTGTTCCCTTGTATCCCCACCCTCTCTCTTAAAGTTCCTTCTCATAAAGCTTACTCAAAGGCCTGTGAACAGAAAAACCTGGCATTATTAAATGACTGTTCACTGAGTATAGACCTATGTAATGTAATTGCTTATATAAATTCTTAGTGCCAGTTAAGTTGGTTGAAATAATAATAATAAGAAATAAATATATGAATTAATAAAAGGTTTAATAGTATGGGTTTTTTTCAATGCACAGCAATATTCAAAATAAGATTTTTTTAATGTTTAAAAGCAGAAAAGAATATATAAAATATTACATTTTGTGCATTACTACTAAGCTTTAGGAGAAATATTGATTTCAGTATAATTTTCTAAATATACAAAAGTTAAAAAAGAAAATCTGTCTCAGAGATGGATAATTATTATAGTAGTGGTATTAGTCTGCGTAAAGCTTTTCATTCTTTAAGTTCTTGAGATGGAGTTTTTGGATATTCCCATGAACAATGAATCTGTATTTTTAGATAATGGTGCAATTTTAAGAGGTTTTTAACATCTCATATTTCAGGTCTTAGGTCAGCAAATACTGATTTGGAATGAGAAAGTGTACTCAAGGAAATTATTTTATTATTATCTGTTATATGGTTTATTTTTTTCCTTCTATAATTTCTTCAGAATATGACAGTGAGTTATGCTACTATAGTATTTAGACCGGTATTATAGTCCATCTCTGTACTCTCCTTATTTGCTGAACATAAAAATATTAAACATTAACTACATTAAGAAACTAAAATAATAATACAAGTCAATATTCAAAGAACATTAACCTTAACAGTTATCAATTCAAAACCCAGAAGATTCAGAAATATTATTGTTTAATTAGACTGTTGGATGTCTGGAGGATTTCTAGTCCATCCTCCTGTTTGGAGCAGGACTGTCATCATAAGATCAGACATGTCTTTTCCTAAGCAAGTCTTGAAACTGTGCAAGGGTGCAGATGGCACCACTCTGGATAATCTGTTTTAGGGCTGCAGTGCAGCTTGCAATGCTGCTTGCTTCACATCCTTCATCGTGACCACATGGATTATTTCTTTTCCTGACAGCCCCAGTCTTTTTCATTTCCTGGTATAGACGTGGTTTGCATTGCTCAAAATCATGGGGTGAAGAAGGTATAGCTATGAGATCTTTGCTTACATTGTCACATAATTAACAAAGCTCTTATTGAAAGCAAAATGTATCAAAGAAGTGTCAGCTGAGGCGCCTGAAGGCAACAGAATACACTGTCTCTGCCAGAGCTTTTGTTACTCTGGTCAAGATAGACCAAAGGTTACCCAAGCAGCCATTACCTAAAGGTTATCCAAGTAGCCATCGGCTGTGTTCCTTGGTTTTTGAGTGACGAATTTGACATTAGAGCTCTGATTCTTTTGATCTACTGAAATAAATAATAACCATGCTATGAAAATATTCTCTGTTAAAAAATGTTTAGTACTCTGAATAAAGAAAATCTTGAGAAATCTCAAATCAGATGCCCAAACATTTGTACATTTTCAGCATTATATCCTTGTGTCTTACATTTTTCAAATTAGTATAATATCACATTACAATCTCACCTTAGAAGGATACATGAGTTCATATTTGTGATCCCCTTAGATAATGGAGTCATAAAATTTGAGAAGCTGTTAAAGAACTCTTTATATTCAAAAGCAAATTACATACTGTGCAGTAAATAGGTAAGACCACTCTTATTGAACAAAGAGAATATAAATTCCTGGAGATATTTAAAAGATGTGAAGATACGACACTTAGAGACATGGATTGGTGGTGGTGACTGACTTAGCAGTGCTGGTTTAACAGTTGGACTTGATGATCTTAGAGGCCTTTTCCAAACTGAACAGTTCAATGATACTGTGAAAATGTTGAGGAGCTGCTTCTTCATTAAGCAAACTTCATTCTGAACACTGAGTGAAATAGGGTATTTATGTTTGAAAACTAGTAGTGATCTTATAGAAGACTACTGACTGCACAAGCAACTTCTGTTTTAATTTTTTCTGTCTTTCTTGAAGTATTTGTTTGGGTATTTTAAAGATGAAAGTTATGCCTAAAGTAGAATATACATACTTACATACGCACAGTACAGTAACTGATGTGAAAGATCAAGCTGCAAAAGGCTCGTACAATATATTTGAAATCTTTGAATACATGGTTAACTGCTGCCACATTGACTATCAAAACATCCAGAATTAATGTTTTGATATGCTGTCACTGCAACACTGTGGAAAGTAAGAGAAACACAAACTTTCTAGTGGTCAGTACATATATTTACTGACCACAGGGGAATTGGAGTTCTCAGTAAGAACTTCATTTACAGCAGTAAACTGAGCAACATCAGGGCATGAGATGCCACTGGCAGTCTGTACTCTTAAACTGTTTGGGTTTTGCCAGTCTTTGGCCAATACTGAACAGACTCACCTAGAAGGTGCCCAGACACAGTGAAGTTTTAGCTGAGACCTGAGACCATCCCCAGTAATTATTTGGGTGGACCAGCTCTGTCTTGAGAAGGCGAGTGTAACTTAAAGGACATGAGCCTAGTAATTCCTTCAGATCCTAATAGCTGTTGGCCAGTGCTATTTTGTAACATAGATGTAGCAAAGCTAGTAGCGAAATTCTTGCAATCCTGTCTCTGTAAGCTTTTCCTTTTCCTGATTTATTCCTCCTGCTTTACTTTATCCTGATAAAAATATTTGTCTCCTCAATGAGTTCAATACACAGCTATAAGATACCTGTCTGGAACATCAAAATAGGATTCATGGCTAAGATGTATAAATGTAGGTATCTGAACACAAGCTGAATGCTGTTTCCCATAAGTCACTGACAGTGTAGTTAGCCCAGTGAACAAAGTACAGGGAGTGAGAGGTTCCACTCATTTTATTAATCTGATCTCTGACTATGGTGGGAGCTAACATGCTTCTTACACATGTAGAAAAATGAGGTGTCTTAATCTGGAGCAGAATCTCAGCTACTGAGCTTTCCATGTAAAGGAAAAACACCCAAGTCAGTGATTATTTGCATAATTTATTCCTCATTTTGACTTCACCTTCAAAGTTGCAGACATATGTATAAATCAGCAACTTTCAGAAATCAAAGAGAGAATGCCCCATGTCCTCCTTTTCCCCTGAATTTTTGCCCTAAACCAATTTTTTCTGGGTTTATTGATCCCTTAGGCTCTGTCATGTCCTACATTTAACCTTTCTCCATAACACCTCACATCTTTTTGGTTGCAAAATGTCTGAAGTGTATATTCTAGTTTGTTGTTTCTCAAAGAAGAAAAGTATATGTTCATAGGTTCTTAGAATTTTATCATATATAGAAAAACATTTAATTTTATATTTTTAAGCTGCTGACTAGTAAAAGAGTTGATGAAGTTTTGAAGTACACACCAAAATCTTTCTTCTGTCATTCATAAAGTCAAGCACTGTTTTCTTTTAGAAAGGATATTTTGAGATTTGATTGAGGCTTTTTTTTGCCAGCAGATATTTTAGTTAATTGGAGAAAACTGCTCAATATCTTTGTACATGATGCTATGCTTGATTCCTTGTAGTAGCTACTGATGTGCACACAGTCCTACAGTTAGAGTCAATCTAGAACATACAACTTCTAGAAAAAATGAGATTAATTTATTTATTAATAATTATTAATTGTTATTAATTTATTTATTTTTAATGAAGTAGTTATTGAGATGTGACCATTAGCAGGGACACAGTTATTCTGACTAGAACATTCTGACTTAATGCCATGTTGATAGAGGGATGCTAACCACACCAAGACTTAAAGTGAGGCAGTGCAAGCCTCCTTATTTTTTACCCTCCTAGTTCTTTCAGCAACAAGTGTAAAAAAGAGCTATAAAATTTTAAAAATCCACTCTAAACCTTGCCAAAGAAGTGCATTTTTATGTGGTTTCTTTCTGTGTGTGTGCGTATGTACTAAGTTACATATAAAGCATGTTTGAAAAGACTTGATTTTGTGCCCTCTTTTCCCAATGGTTACTATTACTATTCTCAAAAGTTCCCAAAAATAAAAGCAGCACTCAGATCTATTCCTTAGAGACTGTCAGTAAAAAGGCATCAGAGTGTAAATTCACTATTATTATAATGCCTATAAAAAGAAAAAGTACTAAGAATACTCCTGACAATAATGGTTCTTCATGTATTTTACCACCTACAAACTAACTACCTAATTCATCATACTAAACTGTGTAATTTGTGCTCATTTCAACTCAATAACAAATTAAAAGAGACATCATCAAGTTGATGGAATAGCACTGTCCTATTTTATCTTATGAATTTGTTTTTTCATGAAATTTATATATAGCACTGAGCATTGTTGGCTGTTCTTCAACTAGCAGATATTTTAGGATAAAATAAACACATTTAAGATTTTTTTTTTAAGAAAATAATAATTCAGTTCATGGCATAATTGTCTTATGTTTCTTTACGTAAGAGTGTACTATGCAGCATTAAAAACTAATTTTGAGGGGAGTAAGCATTTTGTTGTTTGCATTATTTTATCTTTATGTTTACGAGGTACTCTCATTTCAGAGCAACGTAGCCAGGGTGAAGCATCCACTGAAAGTGAGCTTCCTGAAGGACACCCTGCTGAGCAGTTTGCAGGTTTACTTCATGGATCATCACCTGCATGTGACCCACCTGAAAATCCTCTCCAGCTGTACAGCAAAGTAAACCTGTGCAGCGGGCCACTGGAGAAAAGCATTTTGAGCAAGAGCGCAGCGCAGCAGATACAGTTACGGAAAGAAAGCAGCTCTGATCCTCCTGTTAAGAAAAAAAAGCCACCAATTGTAAACAGAACCATATTTCATACTAAAAATAAACCAGCAGAAAATCATACCCTGGTTGGTGCGCCAAGGATAAGTGAACAATGGGTTATTACCACTGGGGGATTTGTGGAGAGAGCGTGCACGCTGGGCAGAATACGATCCTTACCAAAGACCTTGCTGGAAATGCACTTGTGCAAAAATGTTTCAAAGTCGGATTCTAATCTTATCACCCATCCACCAAATGATAAAAAAGCGAGAAGCAATTGGAGTGAACCCACACCAAAGCCACAGTGCTCCAAAGGGAATTCAGAGAGAACACCTTCCTTCACATCAGAATGGGAAGAAGTAAGTTTTTTTTTCAATTTTTAAGTACTGTGGTCTTGTGAAGACACTGTTATGGTTTTCAGTTTTGAAGACAAAATAAAAAGTGACTGTTCCACACTTCAAAGCCTCAGAGAGAATGTCACATTGTATTGCAAGGGAGTTCAACAGCTGGCACAAAATGCAAAGCATTTCTGTTCAAATGCTGCCCACTCAATAAAGTCTATTGTTTCCCTATTGAATGAAGTTAACCAGAAGTAATTCTGCAATTTTTTGTGGCACTGAAAATATTGTCTACTAAAGCCCTCACCACTGACAATAATAACATTAATAAAGTCCTTAGTAACTGTGCCTATTGTTTACATATTTGCTAATTATTTCCACCATGGAAGTGCCACATCAGCAAGAGCCAGGAGAAAATGGCAACAATAGAGAATTCATTGGGCATTCTACAAACCCTCCTTATGCATCTTATCCTCTAACTGGTATGTAGCCTGTGTACAAAATGCTTGGCACATACCTGGCTGCTGTGTGAAGTGGGAATACTCATAGCTGCAATGAATTCAGGACTACTAACAGAAATGTCCACACTGAATTTGTAGTGCACATGCTTGCTCATATGAGAGACTTTATTTTAGGTTTAGAATTCAATTTAAATTAAATTTTAGACACCCTATGTTTAACTTTTTTTTTTCCTGTGCTGAATTTTAAGAATGTAAATGATTCTTCATAGACACAGAAGTACCCATCTCATTGAGGTAAATTAAGAGTGTGAAATGTTTAGATCTTTACTGCTCCTACAGAGAAGTGAGCTTTTCTCTTTAAAACTACCACAGTGGGGAAATACATCTATCTCCAGGGCGCTATTATGTTCAAAAAGAACCCAGAGTTTGATTATGTGGTTGGTTATTTTTCTAGGAAAACGTTTCAAGCTAGCCTAAATGTCTGATTTGATAGGGCATTTTAAGGCACTTTTCATTGTAGAGGAGATACTCTCTCAGTGGAGATGTACTAAGTTTTTTTTACTCAGGTTTTAATCTTTACAGCTTGGATGTATTATAATAAAATCCTGATTAGAGTCAGGTCCAGGTTTGCCTTTTTACATCAAGGTTTGATCTTAAGAGTAAAAAAGTGCCACACATATATATATATATATATATATATAATATGACTGCTCAATCTGCAGATTCTGTCATAATTTCTAGACTTTCTCCTGTCACCGGTGGCTAATGCATACTCTTCCTACTAGTTCTAATATTGAGCTTAGTAAAGTGTGTTTCTCTTTGTCTACCTTCTTAGTCCACAGCAACCTTTTGATTCACATTTTGGTTTGTCCTGTTCTTACAGAAAATAAAATAGATACAGTGGTTTTGACCTAGTAAGTTCAATGTGCCTCAGAAATGTATGTAAGTTTTGAGATAAGTGCAGTGTTGTTTCACAGAGAATGTTGTTCTGTCTTATGTGAGGACACCACTGTTTCATACCTATTTAGTCCCCTTGGGGCAGGTAGGAAAAAAAAGAGGGCTAGGAAATTCTCAGGAAATATTTATTGAACAATTGATTTCATTGTGTGTATTTAAAATACTTTAGAACATACAAGATAATATATTTTATTCATTAATATTAATGCTTATACAAACCACTAGTTTAACCTAGTATAACCACTATACATAGCTAGATGAACAGAGCCATCAGTATGTAAGGAACTCTGCCATGGAAAAAGAAATACTAGCTTTAGCTTTTGCTGGCATACAAATATTGCAAAATAAAAATCAATGTGGAGAAATTAATTGTCTACCTTTGATTTATGTGTTTTTACAATTTTGATTGTTGTTTTCCTAATGAGAGTAATAATGCCATAAATCTATGCATGAAAAACTAAAATAAAATAGTTATAATAGTTTATAGATTATAAAATAATCTGAAGATGGGATCCCTCAATTGTTTCACTGTTGTCTCTTTTGTAGATTGATAAAATCATGAGTTCAATAGATGCTGGAATTAATACTGGACTGGGTGAGATGAAAGATCACGCTACAAGTAAGGAAAAACAACCAACTATTGTTTAATTTTTATTTAATTGTCCATAAGGAAACTGTGGATAAGAAATTGCTAAGTAACCCACTGTGCTGAAATAATTTGTAGATATTTGAATAACCATGAACAGAATCTATGTTGTTTACTGTTAGAGATGTATTAGGCCCAGTGTCCTGGAGCTGTTGCTTTAAATAGCATCTTGGAGTCATTAATGTTGTTTTGAAATCTTACCAGAAAAAAATACTTCATTAATGTCTTTGTATTGAAGCCTTTCTTCAAGGGGGGTATTTTACAGTCTTTTCCAGATGACGATTTGTTTGGAATGATGGAACTCTGAGTATATATAATCCAATAACTGCTGACACTTTTTAAAGTATTGTATTATATAATGCTGCTTCGAAGAAATATTTGGCACAGGGCTGAAAATGTTGCTGACAGACAGTGACTGGTGTTAGCAATGATGGGAAAATTTGAAAACTTCCCCTACCATGGAGAATTCTAAGAACCCTGTGTCATGGGTAGCCTGTTGGTCTGTCAGCATAAACCTGTGCAACTGTGCTGATAAAAATTTTTAGAGCATTTTATTATGTCTCCTGCTTAAGTCATGGAGGGAAAACTGACTTGCATGTCCAAATAATTTAGTTCTGAGGCAAAGCTGTGTTAACTCACCTGTACTGGTACATTCCTGCTAAAAATTGCATTGGGTTTATATATAGGGCAGGATGTTATGTACCTTATCACTCAAAATTTGGAAAAGGATATATTTGAACAACTGTCCATTTCATTACATATATATACAGGATGAAACTGTGTCTTATCAATTAAATATAATTGGCACAGCTATTTTAACAGTAGCTTGCAGTGAAAAGGGGATCTGGGATAAAGAGAAAATAACTGATTTGAATGCAAATATAATTGCAGATAAAACAAGCAGACTCAGCTTATTTTTTTTTTCTAAAAAGAGTAAGGGGAAATATCAAAAAATGTGCTAGGCATGTTGTTCTGGCAACTGGTCTTTCTGCAACTTGCAGCATTGGAAAACAGAACTATTCCTAGACAAACTCTACATTAGGAGATAGTGAATAATTTCTGAAGGTATTATAAATAATTCAGGATTTTCTGTTTCTTAGATGTTGTTGTGGTAGTTGTACCAGGTCTGCTGGAGATGGAATTATCTCCCACAGCAGACTTCATAGTTCCTTGCATTGGTAGCTAGAAAGATGTTCACCTGTCAAACACCCTGTGCTCACTCAGCACCCAGGCTGCCTCTCCAACATTCCCCCTTTACCAGTGGGTGGAGGGTGGGCAAGATCTTTGGAGGGGACATACCCAGGATAGCTGGCTCAAGCTGCAAGGAATACTCCATACCACACAGGGCTGTTCAGCAATAAAAGCTAAGAAAAGGAGGGGGAGGCTGAATATCACCAGCTGATAGGAAGTATAAAATAAATCTTTTGTTTTCCTTTGGTTTTGCACAGGCATTTTCTTTTGCTGTATTAAACTGCCCTTATCTTGACCCAAGAGGCTTTTTTTTCACATCCTATTTTCTCCCCTGCCCTGTCCTGCTGAGGAGGGCAGTGATGGAGTGGCTTGCTGAACATCTGGCATCCAGCCAGGGTCAGCTTCCCACAGTAGCACAAAGGCACCAAAGGCAAAATCGGGTGTAGGGTAAGAAGCTGCAGAGCAAGAGCTATGAAATGGAGACAATAGCAACAGTATATGTTTGACAATTTCCATAACTTAGTGATGTGTAAATACTACTCTGTCTGTTCCTATGACTGACCACTGCTTTTCATTTTCTACTTTTTTAGGATCAAAAAAATAACCTCACAACTCTTGTCATCAGCCATTTTGTGTTTCTGCTGCATACCTTATTTTTCTTGATGGAAATATGACATTTTGTGTTTCAACTCTTGCAGGTGATAGGAGGCCTAGTCTTTGCTTCTTTTCCCTGAGTGGATATTGAATTCCAACTTACTTTCTATTCAGTGTGCAGCTTTCTGAACACCAACATTTTTTTCTTTTTTCTTTCCTATCAACTCCTTAACAGTCTTTAGCTAGTTTAGGATAATAGTTTGACTTTGCTCTTAACTAAGACATCAAGCTATGATCGATGAAAATACAGCTATGTTTCCTTAAATTTTACCAGTTGTGCTTTACATGCAGCTTTCAATAAAGACATATCTTTCTCCTATTGATCTGAATATATGCAGCTTCACATGTATGTCTTCCACTTTTCATTCCTTTTGGCCATTTCCAGATTCAGTCAAACACAATTTAGGCAGAAAAGCAAAGGGAACTATTATTGAATGAAATACATTACATGCATCAAACATGCTATACTTCAAGTGTATTATTTTTTATTGTCTAAATATTAACCAAGTAATAGGTTATCTTGGAGGAAATAAGTAGTTCTTACTGCTAGCAGGCTTCACCTTAAACATAACACAGCCAAAGGTAAAGATCAGGCCTGTGCTTAGGAATAAAAATTAAGTAGTATGGTATCAGATCATGTAATTTTGAAATACTTCATCAGTTTATGTATAAATATGTGGGATTTTAGTTTTTACCTGAATATATGTGGGTAAAGCTTATCCGGTAAAGCTTTAAAATAATGTTTTTAATGTTCAGAGAGTGTATGTCAAAGAAACTTCTACTGTTGAACTGCAAGCATTTAGATTATTTAGCACTGTATTAAGGAAACCTCACTTGTCTAGTAACTTTTTATCAAGTAGCAAAAATCCTGATAATACTGAAGAGCAAATGTAGCTTCCTATGGAATCCTTCATTTTAGTGTTTACTTAGTCTTGCACTTCATATTATTCTTCAGTGTTTTCATGAACTTCTAATAATAGCAAAAGTATGTAAAATTCAAACACAAATACTCTGTCAATCATGAACATTAAGAGCTTTTTGTACTACATATTATCTCATTCTCAGTGAAAAATATTTGAGAGGAAATATGCTCATAATGAAATAGCTATATTTAAAAATAGACAATGATGAAATCTTGTGATGAAATTCTTGAATGGCCTTGCCAGAACTTTGGCCTATATTTTCCTGCTGGTTATATCTGGAAAGACTTCTCTTAGATCTCCAGGGAAATCTCTTAAGAAGCAATTAGAGGAGCAGTAAGAGGAAAGAATCAAAATTGAGTATGCTCATGAGGACTTCATCCATAGCATGCATTTAGGAACAAAAAAATTAAAGCAGAGCTTTCTGTTTGGTAGCAGTACAGGTATTGGAGGAGCAAACTTAAAACTACAGAGAAGAAGATGACTTTTGATGTTCTCTGGCAAATTAAAGCAGGAGTTCTGACCAGGAAGCATGTAAGAACAACTCTTGATAACTGCCAAAACCCCCAAACACTAGCCCAAGGAATAAAACACCCCCTATTACCAAGAGGAAATAAAAGGTGTGGCTGGCTGCTGTGATCTTCTACTCAAGATGTTGTGGAAATATCTGCAACACCTGGCACTTAAATTATGGCTGATGTGTTTCTTCAAAGAGTCAAATTTTGCCAAATTACAAAGGATTGCACCACTCATTAATATAGGATAAAGAGTAATAATGGTACTGCTAAGAATTATCCTAGAAAATCAAAAGTTCTTATCAGGCTCTGTGGTAGTGAATAAAGAAGTTGAAGATCCAAGATAATATTCTCTCATTTCATGTCCAAGTCTAGTGTCAGATACACCCTCAATGTAACTCTCCTCTCTCCCAAGAGAAGTTTAAAATGAGAACCATTTGGCAAGAACAAAAATCATAATCTTAAATAAGGCAACTTGAGCATAGGTCTTCTCCCTAGGATTATTTAAAACAAGATTAAGGAAGTGACTAGAGAAAGTCATGGATCAGCGTGCAAAGTATCTTTCCTGTTTGCATGCTAATGGTAGAAGAAAGAGGAACAGAGAAGAATTAACCGAAGAGTTAATGAGGAAAATGGTAATTAATTGAATATTACAACAAAACTGACATTGTAGGTACTTTATCCTAAATATCATAATAGTAGAAAAAGGGAAGAAGAGAGGAACTTTTGGCTTGTATTTCAAAAACAGTTGCTTTCAGATCGCAAAAATAGGACTAGATAGAGCTTTTAAATATCTCTTCGTGTCCAGAGAAGCAGTAAAGACTTTATTTGTTCTTGATACTTTTCCAAAGATACTGGACATGATAGTAATGGGGGGTTTTAGTTGTCATTTTTGTGTAAAAAATTACATTGACAGATTGCCCAGGAAAAAAGAAAAAAGCTGAAGAAGGTAGGATGTCAACAAATTCAGAGATTTTATTTTAAGAAATATATAGGGCACAGGTTCAAGACAAGTCTGTGTGGTTTTCAACAGAAATCTACTAAAAAGATCATAGTACAGTCTTCACCAATGTGAAGAAAAGAAAGTGTAAAAGACCAGCTGGGCTAAATTTCCATCTCTTCTTCCAGCTTAGTCAAAATGAGGAAAATTTCTCTACTAAACATGGTGGAATAGCACACGTGTGTATAGACATGTCAGAAGTGCCAAAGCACTCAGTGAGAAACAGCTAGTAAGATTTAATATAACTATATTAGTGCATTAATAGGTAGAAGAAGAACAAAGAAATCTTCAGTACCTAAGAGAGCTACTGGAGGAAAGGAAAAGGTGCTTGGAGTAGGTGCAGAGAAGGGAAAAGCACACAGTGATTTTTTTTTTTTTTATTACATGAGTTTACTGTAAAGGTTGTTGGTGAACATATGACATGAACAGTTAATCCTAGAGCTAAAACATCAACTGTAGATAAGGAAAGAACAGACTCTATAGGTTAGGTTCTTTAACTGTCTGCAAAACAGGCCTATTAGTGCCTTTCTGTGAGATTTCATGAGGGGTGTCTCAGGTACCAAAAGACTAAATAAGAATAATATAGAACTTATCTTTAAAAGAGGAAAAAAAGAAGAATGTGGGGAATTATTTTCGATTAATAAGCAAATTAAGGAGCAGATATACTACTTTAAGTAGCTAGAAGAAATAAGT